GAGAAATACCAAGGGCTCAGAGAAGAGCTCGAGAGGATGTGGAGGGTGAAGGTAACGGTGGTCCCACTCGGTGCAGTCGAGTGGATTCAGCAGATCCCAGGAACAACAGTCATGTCTCCCGACATAATGTAATAAATAAAGTTTGTAACATCTCTTTATAACTATAATCATTGTGATCAGTTAGTTAAAAGAGTTGGGATTATATAAAGAATTTGAATATTTTTAATACAACTTAACAAAGTTTATGTTAAAACTCAGCATAACTTAAATGTGATAATTCATGTTAAACCATGTGGGGAGCTTACATAAAGCACATAACATTATGTATAAAATTTATTCTATATAATATATGAAAGATATCACATTAAAGAAAATCTGAGTACTAATATTAAATATTTACTGTTTAAAGTATGTTTAAAACAGTAAATATGAGGTCATCTATCAAAGTTGTGGAACAGTTCTGATGAGGAATCGAGATTTTTCCAAGAGGAAAAATATTTTTGTTCCTTTTAATTAAACTGTTTACTGTAGTGATTATCGCCGTTATCAGGGAGATATAAAAGGTTCAGGATGTGCTCGGGGTTAGACTTTTATTCAGAAACCAAAGACAGCCACAGGCCTTTATTCTCAGTCGCCACAGATGAAAGCACATTTCACCTCCTGCTGTTTGGAGCAAACACAGTGTTTTGTGTTTTGTGTTGTGGAGCCCTGATTCTCGCCTGCAGGCACGTTTTCTCCTCCTGCTGCTGCTCAGGTAGTTTCCATGTGTAAGATGTGTCCTGAGGCTGCAGGTGAGCCAGCAGACACACCCTGAGCCTCAGACACACACTTACTCACACACACACACACATTATGATCCATCACACACACCCTGCCTGCTTACACACAGAGTCACACCCAGTCTGACTGTGTTGCCGTACCAACACACCTTAACACACACACACACACACACACATTTAGTTTATTGAGTCATAATAAATCTTCAGTGCAGATTTTATCGCCAAGTTTGTGAAGAAATTGCAAAATTTTCTGGACCGAGTTTGATTTCAGGTTAAAAAATCTAAACAAGAAGCTGAACTCAGTTACAGAATCTCCTGGTTTAAAGCAAATACTATAAATATTATTATTATAAACTGTGAAGTCTCTTCTGTTGGAACAAATGAATCTTAGATGTGATCACGCAGTTTGTTGCTTTGCTGTTAATGTTTGAACAGCTACAATTTCTGTAGTTAAATGCAGAAAGTTTCAATGTGCTGAACCAAATGACTCAGTTTTGTCTTTGCGATGTGAAAATATTATTTTAGTTTCCTCTTTTTCTGCCTCAGATGCCCTAAATTAAATCAAGTTCCCACTGAAAATCCATTTGTTTCCTCAAAAAAAAGAACATAAAACACTCTGAGATGCAGGCAGGGCTGTTAGATCATTTTCTACTATTGTTTTCACGTGATCTATAAATCTTATTGAGCTCGGTCCTTCAGGTGCTTCAGGTTAAATATCTGGTGCCTTCAGGAGAGGAGCTCAGGTTAACACAGACTGATGGATGACAGAAGTTTTATTTAAAGTCTGTCATGTACAAGAAACATCATCTTTAAAACACTCCAGATCAGCTGGTTTCACGGGAGTTAATGCCTGAATACA